CAATGGTTTTCCTTCTGTATTTTCAGTAAGACGTAGATGTATGGGGAAATACTATGTTCACAAATTAGTTTCTATCATGTGAATATCTACCATATTTTCAGGTGTAATTTCACAGTGTAGCAGAAAAACAGTGTTCTATTGAAGGTCAGAAAATAAAGGCAAATGTAGTTTTCCCCCAACATAAAAGTTTTCACCGACAGCCACGTTGAAAGGAATTTACATTAGACACCCATATTTTTTTGAGGCATTTCAAGACAAACTCATATTTTTAATTCATTACTTGAGAGTGAGAGCAAATGATGAAAAGAGTTTATTCTTTCATTTTGCAAATTCAAGGTGGAAAGTTAGTATCTTGTCTGCTCTTTGGAAGTTTTCATACTTGTGTAAAAATCCTTTCCAGTTGGTCATGCAAAGTGTGTGCTTTGAAGGCAAATAGCCTTGATTAAAACCATTTCCTTCAGTCATTCACTAGTGTATTATTTTTCTGAGTATACTCAATAATCCTGGCTAAGTAAGGTTTCTGTGTGAGTTTTTACTGAACACAAGCCATACATGTAGACTTAATTTTGCTGTGTGTGCAAATTCTTTTGCCTATACCCTGACTGCCTGACTGTAATCTGCTTGGAGGGCTCCATGGTAAAGCATTCACCTGCAGTGCAGGAGACACAGGTTCAGTCCCTGGGTCAGAAAGATCCCCTAGAGGAGGAGATGACAACCCATTCCAGTTATACTTGCTTTGGAAATCCCATGGACAGAGGAACCTGGCAGGCTATATAGTCCATGGGTCACAAAAGAGTCAGACAGGATTTGGGACTAAATAGCAACAGTCTGCTTAAGTGTTTGTGATGCTGAGTCCCTTCATACTGCTTTTCGTTCTTAGGGTCATTTTGATGTAGGTGTCTCTCAGTGAACTCTCAAATCCTGCACTTTTGTGTCAAAATCATATTGTCCAAAAGATTGTACTTATGTGTAAATGGTTTTAAATGGATTGTCAGTTTCACTGCCAGTAATAAGACTGTGAAAACCTCAAGTGTTAATTGAAAGGATGAAGCAAGGGACTCATTGAAAAAGGCGAATCTAGCTAGAATTCCTGGATTCTGTTTTGAATTATGCCTTGAATTTGACTTTTAACCCTTTGCACAGGTCTTTTAAAAGACAAACTGAAAAGTTGCAGAAAAGCTCTGTTAGTGGTGTATTATTAGGATATAGAATGAGAACAAGTGAAGCCAACTTGCAAAAATTAGAGATCTTTTCCAGGTGACTTAGTTACAAAGGGCTTGTATACTTGAGTTTTTATCAAAAAGATATTTGAGAATTTGAAGTGGGACTGTCCTGCAGGAAAGGAGGTGAAATTTAAGCAGTAATTAGTTTGAACACAAAAGCTCTTGCTAATTTGAATAGCACCTCAACAACTGGCAGGATAGCAAATACTGATGATACAGCTGCTACCAAGATCTCATCTAACAATTTTTATATTTTTTTAGCTGGACAGTATAAATAACTGTTATGCTCCTACACCTGAGACTAGAAATTCTGCAGAGTTTTCATCATTATTAGTGGGAATTATGGTTGCTTATTAGTTTTTACTGATTAGCAACAGTTCAAGGACCACTTTTAGAACTTATTTAAGAAATATACAGAGGAGATAATTGAATGGGGATTATTTTTATGGAGTAAAATTCTTTCTTCCAAAAGTTTGATAAGTTGTAACTTGAAAGACATCAAACATAAATTTAAAACTATTAGGTTGGTTTCATAGAATTTAGCAACACATCAAAAAGCTCATACACCATGATCAAGTTGGGTTTATTCCAGGGATGCAAGGATTCTTTAATATATGCAAATCATCATTGTGATACACCATATTAAAAAATTGAAAGGTAAAAACCATATAATAATATCAGTAGACGAAGAAAAAGCCTTTGACAAAATTCAGCACCCATTTATGATTAAAACTCCTCAGAAAATGGTCATAAAAGGAACCTAATTCAACGTAGTAAAGGCCATATATGATAAGCCTACAGCAAACATTATTCTCAATGGTGAAAAACTGAAAGCCTACAGCAAACATTATTCTCAATGGTGAAAAACTGAAAGCATTACCCCTAAGATCAGGAATAAGACAAGGGTGTCCACTTTAACCACTGTCATTAAACATAGTTCTGAAAGTCCTAGCTATAGCAACAGAGAAGAAAAAGAAATAAAAGGAATCTAGATTGGAAAAGAAGAAATAAAGTTCTCACTGTTTGCAGATGACATGATATTGTACATAGAAAACCCTGAAGATAGTATCAGAAGATTACTAGAGCTAATCAGTGAATTTAGCAAAGTCACTGGATACAAAATCAATACACAGAAATCATTTGTATTTCTATATACTAACAATGAAAACTCAGAGAAATTAATAATCAGTCCCATTCACCATTGCAACAAAAAGAATTAAATACCTAGGAATAAACATACCTAAGGAGACAAACTGACTCATTTGAAAAGACCCTGTTGCTGGGAAAGATTGAGGGTAGGAGAAGAAGGGGACCACAGAAGATGACACGGTTAGATGGCATCACTGATTCAATGGACTTAAGTTTGGGTAAACTCTGGGAGTTGTTGATGGACAGGGAGGCCTGGCGTGCTGCAGTTCATGGGGTCGCAAAGAGTCAGACACAACTGACTGAACTGAACTGAAGGAGACAAAAGAACTGTACACAGAAAATTATAAGACTAATAAAAGAAATCAAAGATGATATAAATAGATGGAGAGCCATTCTTTATTCCTGGGTAGGAGGAATCAGCATTGTGAAAATGACTACACTACCAAACACAATCTACAGATTCAGTGCGATTCCTATCAAATTACCAATGGCATTTTTCATAGAACTAGACAAAAAATTTCACGATTCATATGGAAGCACAAAAGAGCCTGAATAGCCAAAAGATTCTTGAGAAAGAAAGATGGAGCTGGAGGAATCAACCTTCCTGACTTCAGATTATACTACAAAGCTGCAGTCATCAAGACAGTATGCTACTGGCACAAAACAGAAATATAGACCAATGGAACAAGATCAAAAGCCCAGACATAAACCCATACACCTATGGGTACTTGATTTTTGACAAAGGAGGTAAGAATATACAATGGGGCAAAGACATCCTCTTTGATAAATGGTACTGGAAAAATTGGACAGCTTCATGTAAAAGAATAAAATTAGAACTTTTCCCAACACCATACACAAAGATAAACTCAAAAGGGATTAAAGACCTAAATGTAAGACCAGAAACTATAAAACTCAGAGGAAAACATAGCCACAACACTCGATGACGTAAATGAAAGGAAGATCCTCTATGACCCACCTCTAGAGTAATGGAAATGAAAACAAAAGTAAACACATGGGACTTGATTAAACTTAAAAGCTTTTGTACAGCAAAGGAAATATAAGCAAGGTGAAAAGACAGGCCTCAGAGTGGGAGAAAATAATAGCAAATGAAACAACTGGCAAAGGATTAATTACCAAAATATACAAGCAGCTCATACAACCCAATACCAGAAAAACAACTCAATCAAAAAGTGGGAAAAGACCTAAACAGACATTTCTCCAAAGAAGGCATACAGATGGCTAACAAACACATGAAAAGATACTCAACATCACTCATTATTAGAGAAATGCAAATCAGAACTACAATGAGATATCACCTCACACCGGTCAGAATGGCCATCATCAAAAAGTCTTCAAACAATAAATGCTGGAGAGGGTGTGGAGAAAAGGGAACACCCTTGCACTGTTGGTGGAAATGTAAATTGATACAGCCATTATGGAAGACGGTATGGAGATTCCCTAAAAAACTAGGAATGAAACCACCATATGACCCAGCAATACCACTCCTAGGCATGTACCCTGAGGAAACCAAAATTGAAAGAGACACATGTGTCCCATTGCAGCACTATTTACAATAACTAGAACATGGAAGCAACCTAGATGTCACTTGACAGAAAAATGGATAAAGAAGTCATGGTACATATACAAAATAGAATATTACTCAGCCATAAAAAGGAACACAGTCAGTTCTAATGAGGTGGATGAACCTAGAACCTATTATACAGAGTGAAGTAAGTCAGGAAGGGAAAGATAAATATCGTAATCTAATGCATATGTACAGAAACTAGAAAAATGGTACTGAAGAATTTATTTACAGGGCAACAATGGAGAAGCAGACATAGAGAATAGACTTATGGACATGGGAAGAGGGGAGGAGAGGGTGAGATGTATGGAAAGAGTAACATGGAAACTTACATTACCATATGTAAAATAGGTAGCCAATGGGAATTTGCTGTATGGCTTAGGAAACTCAAAGAAGGACTCTGTATCAACCTAGAGGGTGTGATGGGGAGGGAGATGGGAGGGAGGGGATATATGTCTACCTATGGTTGATTCACGTTGAGATTTGACAGAAACAGCAAAATTCTGTAAAGCAGTTATCCTTCAGTGAAAAAAAAAAGACTATTAGGTTGGTTTCAGGTAAAAATACATTTCTAATAATTGAAATTTCAAATGCCTAACTGGGAGATATTTTAAATGTAGTAAATAAAATTGATGCTTATAGTTGACTTAATTTTTAAATTAAAAAAAATCTTTAAAAATCTTATCATGATTATCTTGGCTTATCTTTTATATTCTTTTTGAAAGCATTTTAGGAAAACTGTAAGGAATAGGATAATAATAATACCCTGATGTATTCTACCTAGTTTAAGAAATATGATATATTGGTATAGTTATTTTTGAATGAGCAGTAAAAGCTTTAGAATACTGTTTAAATCAACATTGTATGTTTGGAAGTAGAAATTCTAAGTGACACATATTGGTGATAGACATTGAATAATATACAAGGACTGAAGTTAGTAGATAAAAGACTTAGTAAGGATCAAGTAACTTAATAACTTTACGTGCTATATATCTTAAAAAATGTCTGGCCTTACAAGTAATCTTGAAAATAAAAGCTGTAGTAATAACATTCAAAAGAACTATTAAGTATCCTGGGTAGTATATTTAAAGTACAGTAGTAATTATTATGATTGCTAACAAAAATACTAACTACATTTTTGAGTGCTTATTCTGAGCCAGATATCACATTAATGGCTTTATCCAGATTATCTCACTTGGTCCTCATGATGGTCCTTTGAGACAAATACTGTCATCTCTATAGATGAACTGGGATTCTGAGAAGTGAAGAAACTTGTTCAAAGTCATACAGCCAATAAATGATGGTTACCACTAGTGTGTCTTTGACCGTAAGTAAAATTTTAAAAATTCACCACTTTTACCTTGGTGATAGATTATTAAAACAACTTTATTGTATATCTTACTAATACTAGCTTCTTGGCCTAATCATTAGTTAATGTTTAGCGTGTGGGACAGCCACTTCAATATCTGTGCTACAGGGAGATATCCCAAGTGAGTCTTCCCAGATAGAATCATCACCTACCACTGCACTTGGAGGAACCCTAGACTTGCTGTTACTCATTTTCCAATGGTTCTCTTGCAATTATTCCAACTCTCCCTTTAAGTGATGCATAGTCAAGCACAGAATATTCTTTTTTTTTCTTTTTTCATTTTTCAAGTATTTGTGCGTTACCATCATCCACTAGTCAGTTATTAATACCTTTTGTTGTTATTCAGTAGCTCAGTCGTGTCTGACTTTGCCGACCCCATGGACTGCAGCATGCCATGCTTCCCTGCCTTTCACCGTCTCCCAGTGCCTGCTCAAACTCATGTCCATTGAGTCAGTGATGTCAACCAACCATCTCATCCTCTTCTCCTCCTGCCTTCATCCTTTCCCAGCATCAGGGTCTTTTCTAAGGAATCAGTTATTTCCATCAGGAGGCCAAAGTATTGGAACTTCAGCTTCAGCATCAGTCCTTCCAATTAATATTCAGAACTGATTCCCTTTAGAATGGACTGGTTGGATCTCCTTGCGGTCCAAGGGACTTTCAAGAATCTTCTCCGGCACCACAGTTCAAAAGCATCAATTCTTTGGCACTCAGCTTTCTTTATGGTCCAACTCACATTTATATCTGACTACTGGAAAACCATAGCTCTGACTAGACGGACTTTTGTTGGCAAAGTAATGTCTCTGCTTTCTAAGATGCAGTCTAAGTTTATCATAGCTTTTCTTCCAGGGAGTAAGCATCTTTTAATTTGATGGCTACAGTCACCATCTGCAGTGATTTTGGAGTCCAAGAAAATAAAGTCTCACTGTTTCCATTGTTTCCCCATCTATTTCCCATGAAGTGATGGGACCAGATGCCATGATCTTAGTTTTTTGAATGTTGAGCTTTAAGCCAGCTTTTTCATTCACTCTCCTCTTTCACTTTAATCACGTTCTTTAGTTCCTCTTTGCTTTCTGCTGTAAGGGTGGTGTCATCTGTATATCTGAGGTTATTGATATTTCTCCTGGCAATCTTGACTCCAGCTTGTGCTTACATACTGGCTTACATTCAGTCTGGCTTACATGATCAGCTGCTCTACATACAAGTTAAATAAGCAGGTTGACAGTATACAGCCTTGATGTACTCCTTTTCCAGTTTGGAACCAGTCTGTTGTTCCATGTTTGGTTCTAACTTGCTTCTTGACCTGCATAAAGATTTCTCAGGAGGCAGGTAAGGTGGTCTGGTATTCCCATCTCTTTAAGAATTTTCCACAGTTTGTTGTGGTCACAAAAGCTTTAGTATAGTCAGTGAAACAGAGGTAAATGTTTTTCTGGAATTCTCTTGCTTTTTCTGTGATCCAGCAGATGTTGACAATTTAATCTCTTTAGCCTTTTCTAAATCAAGCTTGAACATCTGAAAGTTCTCAGTGCAGATACTGTTTAATCCTAGCTTGTATAATTTTGAGCATTACTTTGCTAGCATGTGAAAAGTGAAGTAGCTCAGTCGTGTCGGACTCTTTGCCACCCCATGGACTGTAGCCTACCAGGCTCCTCCCTCCATGGGATTCTCCATGCAAGAATACCAGAGTGGGTTGCCATTTCCTTCTCCAGGGGATCTTCCGGATCTAGGGATCGAATCCAGGTCTCCCGCATTGCAGGCAGACACTTTAACCTCTAAGCCACTGTAGCTTTCCACCATTGGGTGCAGTTGTGCAATAGTTTCAAACATTCTTTGGCACTACCTTTCTTTGGGATTGGAATGAAAACTGACCTTTTTTAGTCCTGTGGCCACTGCTGAGTTTTCCAAATTTGCTGGCATATTGAGCAAAGCACTTTAACAGCATCATCTTTTAGGATTTGAAATAGATCAGCCGGAATTCCATCACCTCCACTAGCTTTGGTCATAGTATTGCTTCCTAAGGCCCACTTGACTTCTCCCTTCAAGTGGTCTGGCTTTAGGTGAGTGATCACACCATTGTTGTTATCTGAATCATTAAGATCTTTTTTATATAGTTCTGTGTATTCTTGTCACCTTTTGTTAGTATCTTCTGCTTTTGTTAGATCCATACAGTTTCTGTCCTTTATTGTGCCCATCTTTGCATGAAATGTTCCCTTGGCATCCCTGATTTTCTTGAGGACATCTCCAGTCTTTCCCCTTCTATCGTTTTCCTATATTTCTTTGTGTTGATTACTGCGGAAGGCTTTCTTATCTCTCCTTGCTATTCTTTGGGACATTTAGATGGGCATATCTTTCCTTTTCTCTGTTGCCTTTTGCTTCTCTTTTTTTCTCCTTGCTATTTGTAAGGCCTCCTCAGACAACCATTTTGCCTTTTTGCATTTCTTTTTCTTGGGGATTGTTTTGATCATCACTTCCTATACAATATTATGAATTTCTGTCCATAGTTCTTCAGGCATTCTGTCTATCTGATCTAATCCCTTGAATTTATTTCTCACTTCACTGTATAATGATAAGGGATTTGATTTAGGTCATACCTGAATGGCCTAGTGGTTTTCCCTGCTTTCTTGAATATAAGTTTGACTTTGGCAATAAGGAGTTCATGATCTGAGCCACAGTCAGCTCCTGGTGTTGTTTTTGCTGACTGTATAGATCTCTCTACATCTTCATCGGTGAAGAATATAGTCAATCTGAATTAGATATTGACCATCTGGTGACGTCCGTGTGTAGAGTCATCTCTTGTTTTCTTTTTTTTTCTGTTATTTATTTATTTTAATTGGAAACTAATTACTTTACAATATTGTAGTGGTTTTGCCATATGTTGACATGAATCAGTCATGGGTGTACATGTGTTCCCCATCCTGAGCCCTCCCCATCCCATCCCTCAGGGTCTTCTCAGTGCACCATCCCTGAGCACTCTGTCTCATACATCGAACCTGGACTGGCAATCTGTTTCACATATGATAATATACATGTTTCAGTGCTATTCTCTCAAATCATCCCACCCTTTGCCTTCTCCCACAGAGTCCAAAAGACTGTTCTTTACATCTGTGTCTCTTTTGCTCTCTTGCATATAGGGTCATCATTACCATCTTTCTAAATTCTGTATACATGCATTAGTATACTGTATTGGTGTTTTTCTTTCTGACTTACTTCACTCTGTATAATAGGCTAAAGTTTCATCCACCTCGGTAGGAGTGATTCAAATGCATTCTTTTTAGTGGCTGAGTAATAGTCCATTGTGTATATGTACCACCGATTTCTTATCCATTCATCTGCCGATGAACATCTAGGTTGCTTCCATGTCCTAGCTGTTGTAAACAGTGCTGCGATGAACACTGGGGTACACGTGTTTCTTTCAGTTCTGGTTTCCTTGGTGTGTATGCCCAGCAGTGGGATTGCTGGGTCATATGGCAGTTCTGTTCCAGCTTTTTAAGGAATCTCCACACTGTTCTCCATAGTGGATGTACTAGTTTGCCTTCCCACCAACAGCGTAAGAGGGTTCCCTTTTCTCTGCACCCTCTCCAGCATTTATTGTTTGTAGACTTTTTGATAGCAGCCATTCCAACTGGCGTGATATGGTAACTCATGGTGGTTTTGATTTGCATTTCTCTGATAATGAGTGATGTTGAGCACCTTTTCATGTGTTTGTTAGCCATCTGTATGTTTTTGGAGAAATGTCTGTTTAGTTCTTTGGCCTATTTTTTGATTGGGTCGTTTATTTTTCTGGAATTGGGCTGCAGGAGCTGCTTGTATATTTTTGAGATTAATTCTTTGTCAGTTGTTTTGTTTGCTGTTATTTTCTCCTGTTCTGACAGCTGTTTTTTTTTACCTTGCTTATAATTTCGTTCATTGTGCAAAAACTTTTAAGTTTAATTAGGTACCATTTGTTTATTTTTGCTTTTATTTCCATTACTCTGGCAGGTGGGTCATAGAGGATCCTGCTGTGATTTATGTCAGAGAGTGTTTTGCCTATGTTTTCTCTAGGAGTTTTATAGTTTCTGGTCTTACATTTAGATCTTTAATCTGTTTTGAGTTTATTTTTGTGTATGGTGTTAGAAAGTGATCTAGTTTCATTCTATTACAATTGGTTGACCATTTTTCCGAGCACCACTTTTTAAAGGGATTGTCTTTTCTCCATTGTATATTCTTCCCTCCTTTGTCAAAGATAAGGTGTCAATAGGTGCGTGGATTTATCTCTGGGCTTTCTATTTTGTTCCATTGATCTATATTTCTGTTTTTGTGCCAGGACCATACTTTCTTGATGACTGTAGCTTTGTAGTAGAGCCTGAAGTCAGGCAGGTTGATTCTTTCTCCAGATTGCTTTGGCTATTCGAGGTTTTTTGTATTTTCACACAAATTGTGAAATTATTTGTTCTAGTTCTCTGAAAAATACCATTGGTAGCTTGATAGGGAGTACATTGAATCTATAGATTGCTTTGGGTAGTATACTCATTTTCACTATATTGATTCTTTCGATCCATGAACATGGTATATTTCTCCATGTTTGTGTCGTCTTTGATTTCTTTCATCAGTGTTTTACAGTTTTCTATATATAAGTCTTTTGTTTCTTTAGTTAGATTTATTCCTATTTTATTCTTTTCATTGTGTTCTTGAAAGGGTGTTTTCTATGACCAGTGAGTTCTCTTGGAAAAACTCTGTTACCCTTTGTGTGCTTCAGTTTGTACTCTAAGGCCAAACTTGCCTGTTCAGGTATCTCCTGACTTCCTACCTTTTTTCCCCCCAGAATAAAGAGTATTATTTATTTATTTATTTATTTATTTATTTATTTATTTATTTTTATATTGCAGTGGGTTTTGTCATACATTGACATGAATTAGCCATGGATTTACATGTATTCCCCATCCCGATCCCCCCTCCCACCTCCCTCTCTACCCGATCCCTCT